GTACACCGGCGGCTGAGTTCGGAGACGTGAGCGTCCCAGGATAGAGTACTGTCAAAAGTGACGCCCAGGTTCCCCACCTGCGCGCACGGCTGCAACGCTGCGTCACGGAACGATACCCTGAAATCTGGCAATTTGCGTAAATTTTGACGACTGCCGAAGACAATGAGCTGTGTTTTACTGGCGTTGACCTTCAGGGCGTTAGCGCAGAACCATTCGTTGAGTGACGCGAGTGAAACCTCCATGCGCGAGATGAGAACTCCAAGGTCCCTGGCAGGACCGCTAACCAATACTTGGGTGTCGTCGGCATATTGAAAGACTACTGCATCACCCGCGTACAGCGATAAGTTGTTAGAGAAGATGGTGAAAAGTAACGGCCCTAACGCAGAGCCCTGGAAGACACCCATGGTATTAGGAAGAGGCCGAGACAGCACTCTATTTCCGGACCCATTTTTCAACGACACGCTCTGGGTGTGTCCATGAAGATAGGCGGCGAACCAGGAAATTTCGATACCGTGCAGCATAAGTTTTTGCATCAGAAGCTCGTGGTCTATCACGTCAAAACATTTACTAAGATCGAGAAGGCATAGCATTGAGATCTCCCCCCTGTCGGTGGCGGCCAGGATGCGTTCAGTGACGGACAACAACGCTGTTTCAGTAGAGTGCCGGGGGCGGAAGCCGTGCTGTGAGGATGCCAGAAGGTGATTAAGGGAGAGGTAGGCGTAGAGCTGCTGATGGACAATGCGCTCAACCACTTTCATGATTACAGGGACCAGGGAAATGGGCCGGAAGTTTGCGGGGTCTGAAGGATTGCCGGATTTGAATAGAGGGTGAACTATGGAATGTTTCCACGAATCGGGGATATCGGATTGAATTAAGCAGGTATTGATAATATGCAGGATGACGCCACCAATAGCTCGGAATCCGGCTTTCAGCATGCGAACGCAGACGCTGTCGGTACCGCAAGCACCCGAGCTACGCATGCTGAAAATCGTCCGCTCAAGCTCGGCAAGTGTGATTTCTCGAAGCTGAAAACTGCATGCGCCAACACGGGTAAGACGTACATTCAAATCGGTAGGTGCGTTTTGGGCTCGGATCTCGGCAGCGACACGAGGACCGACGGATACAAAGAAAGAATTTAAGTCATTGGCAGATAGGTCAGGCTGAACATCAGAACCATCCTTCTTACCGGCAACCACCGACCTGATACATTGCCAAACTTTGTTGGGGCCCCGTTCCCCGATTTCCCTCTGTAGTTCCACCCGCCGGTCGCGACGCAAAGCCGCCCGGACAGAGCGGTTAAGGTTTTTGTACTCGCTCGAGTTGCGGCCTAAATGGCGAAGCGCAGCGCGACGTTGGGACATGAGATCTCGAGTGGCGACGGAGACGGGAGGAGCAGTCGGGTTACGGATAGACACACGCTTAATTGGGGCATGGGCATCGAAAACAGGTACGAAGAAAGACAAGAAAGCATCCCACTTATCACTGACGGTTTCGGCGGAGAATACATAATCCCAGTCAACATCGAGTAAGTCATGATGCAGTGCTGGGTGATCTAAACGCTTAAAGGAGCGAGACGAGATAACAGTGGGCTTTTGACGCAGTTTCGGCACATTCACAACGACATCGATAAATTTGTGAGGACTGAAGTGACAATATTTAACACGGCTGTCGCAAACGAGCTCACGGTTGTTAACAATACACACATCCAGGAGCGAGCCGGAGGAAAATGTTGCAGTTGTCACTAATTGATCTAATGAGTAATTTGATAGGAAGCTGCTTAGGTGTTGACGCGCGCGGAAATTAGGCTCATGGGGTAGGGACAGTCGGCAGAGACAGTCCCACCGGTCCCACTCCTGGGGTAGGGACAGTCGACAGAGACAGTCCCACCGGTCCCACTCATGGGGTAGGGACAGTCGGCAGAGACAGTCCCACCGGTCCCACTCATGGGGTAGGGACAGTCGGCAGGGACCGTCCCACCGGTGCGCGCCGCTCAGTGTCCCAGAGGGTGCGTCGCTGAGGTGCCGCGGCGCGCCGCAGTCCCGGCTCGGGCCGGCCAGCACCGCTCAGGTGACTGACGGCGGTCAGCCCAGCCGGCAGCGAGTCGCCGGGACCGGCAGCTCGGCCACCGGCTGCAGTCCGGGCCGCCGACAGACGAGCGGCCACGGCCGGCGGCACCGCACCAGTCGGCAGACAGCTCTGCAGCCGCGCCGCACCGCTGTATGGCCGGGACGGGGTGGACTTGGTGCTGATTATAATACCACATCAGTCGAGTAGTTCTGACTTTCAATCATCACCTGTTTCGCTGTAGCTCGAGTGGATATGGCCGGGCAGAAGCCGGGGACCGTGTATGTCCGTGTCTCCGTGTATGTCCGTGTCGAGGTGTCTCCGTGTATGTCCGTGTGTCCGTGTCTGTCCGTGTCTCCGTGACGAGGTGTCTCCGTGTGTCTCCGTGTGTGTGTCACTGCAGTGTCACTGCTGTGTGTACGGCCGCTGTACGGTCCGTATATGACGGGTACGGAGACGGTGTACGGAGACTGCCGCTCCGCTCCGCCGGGGCGGACTGTCTGTGACCGCGCGGGGCGGGGCGGAAAATGACGGTCCACAGCGGAGCGGGGCGGAAAATGACGGTTCACAGCGGAGCGGGGCGGAAAATGACGGTTCACAGCGGGGCGGGGCGGAAAATGACGGCTCACAGCGGGGCGGGGCGGACGGTGCAGCCGGACAAACACTCGGCACACTGCTCATTGGTTTATTGATGGCGACAGATGGTACAGCTCAAACGAATCATGTCGTGTTATTAGCAGACACAGAGTAGAATAGACACATGGTCTATACCAGAACATCCGATTAACCCGCGCCCTGATGGGGGGCCATTTTGCCCCCCCCCCTGTGTTTTTTCTTAAATAGCGAGAAAACGGCGGCGCGCAGCGCCGCCAAATTTTGGGTACCTTACCGGGCATCAATCTGACACCTTCACACAAAATTTCAAGTCACAGGTCACCTCAGGTCAGGAGTTATTGAGGTCAAACTGAGGTCATGTTCGAGTAAATATGAGCAAAAAACATGACATCTTGAAACGCTCACCAATTCTACAGTTAACAAGCAATTTTAAAGTTCTTTAGGTGGTTGTGTAGGGAAAAAAACGGCGCTACAAAACTGCAATCTCGGATTTTCGAAATTTTGGGATTTTGACCCCCAAAAATTAAAAAAAATATTTTTTTTAGAAAAACTCAAAAAAATTCCAAATTTTTTTTTCGAATTTCAAAAAAAAAACCGGAACATATGTGATAGTCCCTGGGCTATTCGATATACATACCAAATTTTAGATCGATACCTCTTTTTTTGGCCAAGTTATAGCGAAAAAAACTGTTAAAAATTGATGACGTCAAATTTTTGAACCCAATTTTAGCAATTCTAGACCTCGTAGCGCAAAACGGAGACCACCATTGAACTCCCCGTGACAAGCTGCATCGAATTGATACCCATTTTATGCAAAAATATCAACTTTGAAATTTGACCTAATTTGACCTGACCTTGACCTGACCTTGACCTGACCTTGACCAAAACGTGACCTAAGCTGGCCCTAAAGTCTGTCTGACCCACATAATCGCATTTGTCATGTAAAATGGACCATGAAACATGTATCACACGACACTTTCATATTGTGACCCCCCCCCCCCCAGGGACCTGACCTCTGTGACCTGACCTGGTATCAGTGACCTCAAATAGCAAAATATGTGTTTGAAGAACATTTCCCCATCGATGATTTTCAATGAAATGCATTTTGCTCGATTTTACAACGCATTTCTTGAAATGCCTGTAAACGGTGAAAATTCGACCTTTGACCTGACCTGTGACGTCATCGGTTTGACCGAGGTAATTGAAATTGGGTCACAAGGTAGTTCCCCGTTTGGGCTATCCAACACCGTTTACCGCTTGTCGCTATGTTGCGTGGTTCTCGAGATCTGAGGGGGGGGCCCAAATGGCCCCCCCCCCCCATCAGACCGCGTTGCTCGGCAGACCCCATCTGGGCGCGGGTTAAACCTAAACCCAGCCTAAACCTATAGACATTGTGTTTGACGTCTCGAGTCTCGGCGTGCGCCGCGCTCCGCCGGTGGAGAGCGGGGCAGCTGACGGACCAATCAGCTGACGGACCAATCAGCTGACTGACCAATGGTCAGCTGACGGACCGGTCCCCGCCCCGGGCCGGGTGACGGCCGCCGGCCGGGACCGGAGCGGGCAGGCGCGGCGCGGCCGGCCGCCGTCTGAACTGGCACCGCGTGTATACTGCCAGCTCGGACGGCAGCTAGCCAGTAGTCGAGTAGAGCTGTCTGTGTGGGACGTGTCACAACACGCTCAGCACGGCGCTCAGCACCGCCGAGCCGAGGTGCAGCCAGACCCGGGGGGAGCGGTCACGTGACCGAGCCGTCCGACTCCACCGGGGGAGCGGTCACGTGACCGAGGCCGGCCGTGCCGCCGGGACCAGGCGCGGTGAACCGAGTCGGACGGTCAGAGACGTGTGTTCTACATACAGAATAGCCTAATGCCACGATCGGTAGTCTCTCCAGCACATCACTTTTCACTGTCCAATTACCCACAATACCCGCCCGGTAATTACCCACCAGGTCACATCGTTCCAGCCAATAACCCACAATACCCACCTGGTAATTACCCACTGTATCACATCCTTCGTCCAATTACCCACAATATCCGCCGGGTAATTACCCACTAGATCATATCCGTCCAGTCAATTACCCACAATACCCGCCCGGTAGTTACCCACTACATCACATCCGTGTGCTACTACTACATCTACACTACAACTACTACAACTACATGACTACACTAGAGCGGACACCGGGGCCGTGTGCCGGCTGACCGGCGCCGCTCTCAGTGCCGGCTGGTGCAGCACACACGGCAGCAGTCAGCTGGCGGCCCCGGCCGACTGGCTCGGCCTCTCTGCAGTCAGCTCATCACTGCACGGTCGGTAGTGCAGCGCATCAATCACACCACTCCAACACTAAGACCCCATCGCCTTGCTGGCTCTTCAGCTGACGGTACAGCTCCCCTGTGGACAGAGCAGAGACACGTCTGAGGTGGACACTTCACACACAGACAGACACACAGACAGCGGTACAGCCATGTCCACACACCGCCGGACAGTGACGTCACACACAGGACAGACGGCTAACGTGACGTCACCGTCGGCCGTGGTGGCCGTGACGCGTCACGTCACCGTCCGTGACGTGGCCTGCGGCGGTGGTCGAGTGTGTGTGTCTGAGAGGCCGGTGGCGCCGTGCAGCGTCTGTTGTGAGGGACTGACTGGTCAGAGGCGCGGCGCGCGGCGCCCTCTCACCTACCGGGGACAAAGAGACCGATGGTACCGAATGGGCCCCGGCGCAGGTGCGCCTCCTTCAGGGCGGTCAGCACGGCCCGGGTGGTGTCTGCCGTGCAGTGAAGGTGCAGACACCACAGCTCCCGACACGACTTCACCAGTCTGTAACAGAGCAGAGCAGCAGAGCCGTCACACACAAACACAGCGGCACCAGCCGGCCGGACGTACGAGTCAGTGTCAGTGTGTCAGTAGTTCAGTGTCGGTGTGTCGGTGTCAGTGACAATGCGTCGGTGTCAATGTGTCAGTGTCAGTGTGTCAGTGTCAATGCGTCGTTGTCAATGTGTCGGTGTCAGTGTGTCAATGTCAGTGTGCAAGTATCAGTGTATCAGCATCAGTGTGTCAGTGTCAGTATGTCAATGTGCCTGTGTCAGAGTGTCAGTCATTGTGTCAGAACCCGTGTCAGTCAGTGAATCAGTGTCAGTGAGTTGGAGTTAGTATGTTTGTGTCAGTGTCAGTGTGTCAGTGTGAGTGTGTCAGTGTGATTGTGTCAGTGTCAGTGTGTCAGTGTCAGTGTGTCAGTGTCAGTGTGTCAGTGTCAGTGTGTCAGTGTCAGTGTGTCAGTGTGTCAGTGTCAGTGTCTGACAGGACACCCCTCGCCAGTGTCTGCTGACTGACCTGATGTACGCTGCTGCTGTGAAGGCCGTCTCTGCCGGCCGCTGGCGGTCCCCCAGTGTAAGGATCCACAGCCCGGGGCAGCCGCTGAGACTGTCCAGCACGGCGTCAGGGACGCCACCGGACAGGGTGAGAGACAGCAGCTCAGGGCACCTGGTGAGGGGCTCCAGGCTCACGGTGTCAGGGACGCCGCCGGACAGGGTGAGCCACCGCAGCCCAGGGCACCTGGTGAGGGGCTCCAGGCTGACAGCGTCAGGGACGCCGCCGGACAGAGTGAGATACTGCAGCACACGGCACCTGGTGAGGGGCTCCAGGCTCACGGTGTCAGGGACGCCGCCGGACAGGGTGAGATACCACAGCTCAGGGCACCTGGTGAGGGGCTCCAGGCTGCCGGTCGTGAGATCAGTACAATCTGGAAAACACACAGACACACATACAGACACGATCAGTTAGCTGTAATACATGGCGATATATGGAAAAAACGAAACAGCTATGAATTCGCATGGTTTTATGGACACAGACGATGATATAACAGTGGTTCTATATGATATGCCATATAAACATGAATGAATGTGATAACATGAATGAATGAACATGATAACATGAATGTTCATGTTATCTATGGATAGGTATGCAATCAATTCAGCCAATGCATTGAAGTGCACCAAACATTGCATTTCAATCGCAATATGTAGGTATGTTCAACTGACTATGATCGAATATGTCACTGATTGTACAGTCCTCCTCAATTTCGGAGCTCAGTTGGCTTCATTATTTCACAAAGCACATTGGCTATGTATCACACCTGTCTCCACGAGGCAGAGGTCGACAAAATTCATGGAGTTTCTCCGACTACCGGCCAATTTTCTCCAGGCTTTTCTTCGACGATTGTGAGAAATGATGAATTTGGATACCTATCCACGCAACCCAAAACACTACGGCAGTCATAAGCCCTTGTTACACTGCCAAATTTTGGTACACGAATATGCAGGTCATCCTATGTCGCGGACCGATTCGGGATCTTTCTTCCACGGTCTTGGCATTTCGCAGACCATTCGGTGTCCACCGCGCAACTTATACGGCTCGTCACGACCACCACAAATTTTTCATGAAAAATGAAAATTTCGTGGCCGTTCGCCGAACTTGTGATAAACGAATATAATCGCCAAACAGTCGCCGAGTCGGCGCCGACATATCGCTGCGTGCGCCGACTCGTTGCCAAGGTATCGCCGACTATTCGCCACAGATGAGTGCCAATGATGTAAAATACAATACAATACAAAACATTACGCGCACGCAGTCCTCTGCCGACTGAAACCCGGGTGTGTTTTGCTCCTGCGAGTCACCCCTCCCCCCCCCCCCCCAACCCCTACCTTCCCCGCGGCCAGCGCCGGCCTCCTGCCCTCCTGCCCCGCGTCTCATCTCCCCTTTTTCCTAGTCCCCCTACCCACTCCCTCCCTCCCTCACCGCGCGTCGCTGTCGGGCCCTTGCAGGGGTCGGCAACCTACGGCCCGCGGCCCGGATCCGGCCCGCGGCTGGCATCAGTAACTAACATTGTGTTCCGGTCCGCGGCTCCTGCGCGTGATTGTAACAAATTGTGACCATGCTCCGTCCCGCCGGCTGCTTCCAAATCACATACCTATCCGGCCCCAATCCAAAAAAGGTTGCCGACCCCTGCCTTAGCGTCTTTGCTGCTAAGGTGGCTATTTCCCGTTATTGAGACTTTTCTTTGTATTTGAAGAAATTCCTTCAGATTCGCAATAAACATCGCAAGAATTAGCGACTATTATTGATAAATCTCAACTATTTTTATCTTGTCTCAAGAGTTTGGCAGCTGAAGAAAACAAAGCGGTCGACAAAAACGCCACTTTCTCCGACTGCCAATAACCCGGTTTACATAGGGTTTGTTGCAAGCTTATATCTCCGTCCGTGATGTTGCAAAAGATACCAATGGTGCTTAACAATTTACAAAATGATCCCCTCTAAATATTTGTAGACCACTGCATCGAAATTATCGCCAAATTAACGAGCTAGAGCCTCGTCAAATACGCTATGTAAACCGGGTTAATAAGAGCGATATTTGGTTATGAATTGGTAGGGAAACCGACCTAATAGGCACAGAGCTGCTTCTGACCGGATCAGACCAGCTCTGACTAGGGAGAAAGTGGAGAAATGGTAGAAAACTGTCATCACTAAATTGTTACTCGTGCTGTTGTTAGTCGATGATATAGGTGTATGGATGTAACAATGCTGGCTTTGCTTATCTTAGAATTTCTTCCATGATATTTTCTTCTTTATGTGATTTTCGCTCGTTTGTTTTTCTCTGACTAGGGTCAGATGGTCAGAGATTTTATCGACCTCTGCCACGAGGTGCGACAACGGCACACCGTTACTCGGTGTCCGCCATTCGCTGAGCTCGTATATCAGCAGCCTGTCCGTGCTGCCGCTGCTCACCGTATATCTCCAGTCGGTTGACCGTCCGTCCCAGGTCAGCCAGGTGACTGATGGTGTCGGCAGCCACCCCCTGGAGAGATACCGACAGACCACTCCCGTACCATTCCGGCCACCTCAGCTCCGTCACCTCCGGCCCTGTCGGACAGAGCTGTGTCAGCTGACTGCAGTCGGTCAGAGCTGCCGCCAGCTCCCCGCTGCACCACTGACACCAGAGTGTCAGACACTGACACAGCCAGCACTGACACAGCCGAGCGGCTGCACAACGATATTTTTACCAACAGCATACATACATAAATATTCAAATATGAGCAACATAAGTATTACGATTTTTGCAAGGCACATTGGCTTAGGCACTGGGCAGTGGGCAGCCAGTCATGGTATAGTAACGGATCAGGTTGGTAGCCTACATAAATATATGGTTCGCAGTGGTTGCAATGAAACCATTTAAAATTACAATAATTGCTACAATAATATTTCATGCATGCACTTGATGCTCACACTATATGCAAATGCATGCATTGCATCACTCTAACAATACCATATAACACAAACAAGGCTGTAAGATGTTGGCTGAATTCGATCGGTTCGTCCATTTGCCGTCTCCCTGTCCATTTGTTTATCGATATGCATTGTCCATTATACCGGCATTACATGCATGTTCCGTGGCATCTCACCTCTGACATTGAGGCACTCGAGGCCCTCCGGCAGCTGCTCCCTCAGTAGCGGGAGGTCGGCGGCGGAGACTGACAGCCGCTCCACAGTCTCCCGTGAGCTCCGCAGCTCCGTCAGCTCGCTGTCACCGACTCCGGCCGGAAGGATGACAGTGTTTGGGTCCACCCTGATGATGGCACCACGAAGTTGACTTGGAATAGTAGTTATTTGTGCTGGAAAGGTGATTGAACCAATGTCAGGCATTTGTCTAGGTCAAACATTGTACACTTACCTACAGGTGTAGACAACACAGAGTGAAAATTGTTTGTGGCTACAATGCTGTGATAATTCCGTGTCTGAGTAAATATGTACTTTATCAAAACGATGTGAATTTCATAAGTTACGGCGAATTTCCGTAACAGAATATTCAACAAATAAAATGATAATGGGTCTTTCACATATAAAACAAAAATCACCATTAATTAGTGCATTATATTCCCAACTAGGCATATTCTCATGATGTCAATTGATCAATATGACAGTTTTTGAAACCTTTTCACGTAAGTATTTTGTTCAGCACTTATGTGTAGCTAATAATAACAATTTTGTATCGTTATAAAATTTGTAGCGTAAATATTACGTCCAATAGAGGGCCAAATCATTGACCATCACCATTCACCACACGGCACACGACTTGTCATCCTACAGCTTGCCATGGCTTATGGCTTCCGTCTTACCTTAGGATGAGGCAGCATTACCTGCAATACATGTAATATGTGTTGTATCCAGTTATGCCTGGTTTGATTTAGGCTTCAGATTGTCGGGGATAAACTGGTTCTCCATGTTATTTATGAACATTTGCTAGAAAAAAAGCAGTTCCTTAGAGCAAAAATAACAAGCAAGGAGCGTTGACGCCGGCCTGTTTCTCCGTTCTTCGTGTCCCTGTGTCGCCCCTGGCCCCTGCCCCGTTCAGGAGCGCCCGGCAGCGCCACCTGCACCTGACCAGTCCGGCAGCGTTTGGGGTCGCCCCGCACCGCCGACAATCAGCTGACGCGGCCGGCAGCGCGTCTCAAGGTCACTTGAGGTCAGCCGGGCCGCGGAACGCCGGGGTGGCCGTGACGTCACAGCCAGCGAGCGCCGAGCGCCGGAACACCCACTGTTGGTTTATCCCTTCCTAGCCATTCATATATGAGTAACTTCAACCGCTGCTCACCATCCGTGACTAGTAGGGTAATCCGTGACCCCAGCTCCGTGGCCAGGTGGCTGATGGTGTCGGCAGTCACCCCTTGGAGAGACACCGACAGACCACTCCCGTGCCGTCCCGGCCACCTCGGCTTCGTCACCTCCGGCCCTGTCGGACAGAGCTGTGTCAGCTGACTGCAGTCGGACAGAGCTGCTGCCGGTCGGGAGGCGGCTCACACTGTGGTGTCAAACCCTGACACAGACGACACTGACAAAGCCAGGGTCGATCGGCACTGTTGGACAGTAATTGAACATTGTGCACAATGCATGCACTGCGCTTATACATGAGTCAGTTAATACAGTTCAGTACCTACATACAGGTCATACAGTCTCAGTACATACCCGAAGGTTGTTTCTTCATTAGACAAACACTATTCTTTTGAATGGTGTTTTTCTATTGAAAAACAAACTGAGGGTGGTTCCTTTTCGGGAAAGGATTCGTGTTTGGTGTGGGAGATCCGGGCACCTTGATAGGCTTCCAAACGAACCGATAGGTTGAGCGTGTCACACGGAGTGGTCCAGGGTTCGATCCTGGGCCCGGTCCTACTTTTGGTATTTACCAACGACTTGCCACAACATGTACCTGCTGAGAAAATCGTTATGTATGCGGACGACGCCCAGTTCCTCCACTCTGACTTACCGAACAACCTCTCTGACATGAAAATACGTTTGGAAACCAGCATGTCTGCTGCTCTAAAATGGTTTACCCAGAACAGATTAAAAATCAACCCCTCTAAAACTGAGATGATCATGGTAAAATCGCAACATTGAAAACCGAAACTGGCTTCCATATCCATTTTGGAAACTCAAATTTTCCCGGTACAGTCGGTGAGGGTGCTGGGCGTCGCCGTGGACCTCTTATACGGCCTTGGCCGTGGACGACGCCATGACATGGGACAAACACATATCATACATTTTGCGCCGGTGCTATAGTGTACTGATCGGTCTGTCAAGGATTCGACACCGCGTGCCGCGCGAGACCCGTAAGCTTGAAGCGCTATGATTGAAGCGCTAGTCTTCCCGCTAATAACGTACTGCATGTCTGTATGGGGCGGTTGCACAGTCACACAGCTGAGGAGACTGCAGAAATGCATAAACTTCTGTGTCAGAATCGTAACGAACCTCAGGCGTTGCGACCGTGTGACAGCGTCCCGCAAGGAACTGGGATGGCCTGCTGTACAGGAGCTACTGCGTGAGCATGATCTGCATGTTATATTTAAACTGATGCATGACTCGCATGCCCCTGATTCGATCCGCAGCCGCATCGTCCACCGTACTGCGGTGTCGAGCCGCAGCACTAGGGCAACCAGTGACGGTCAGCTTCATGTCCCGCGCGTGCGAACTAGAGATGTCAATCGGATACCAACTTTTTGGTATACCGATACCAAACCGAAACCAACTTGGTATTTGGCATTTCAATCGTAATGTGTTTGGCATTTTGTTGGTATCGTGAACCCTCACTAATGTATAAGAGGCTAAGAAATCGGTAAAAAGTTGGTATTTCTCTCATTTTCCCAAGTTGGTTTGGTTTCGGTATTTCCCCACGGTTTTGGTTGGTATTTGGTTTGGTATCGGTATTCCGATTTTCCGTTATTGACACCATTAGTGCGAACTGAGCTTGCCCGGCGCTCATTCATCTGTCGCGCAACTCGTTCATGGAATGAGTTGCCTGCGCCTGTTCGAAACTGCACCGGTCTGGCGGCGTTCCGTAAAAAGGTTAAGAAACGGCATGTTTAATCCGGCTGGTCAATGTGGTCAGTTTATCATGTGTGGTGTGTTTTAACCTCTATAGAATATGTCCTGTATGTATAGGTATGAGTTTTGAACTACTGAATGTATGACGTGGTTTACTGAAAACCCAATTTCTTGGATGTAACCGAAATATATGAGTATGAGTATGAGTATGAGTATAGATTTTGATGAAATTTTCAGGGCAGCTGCCCCCGTAGATTATCTACCACGAAACACCCTCAGCTAAGAATATAATTATTTTTCTTGCACGTGGCACGTGCACATGTTTTGGGCCCATAGGCTTCAACATTAGGTGTATTTTCGGCATCGCATTTCTCGCAGACGGGTGCTTGTAATGCGATGGTCTTCTATGTGCTGGGTGGCCGCCCCGGCATCTGCCATTAGCCGGCGGCGCCGTTTCGGGCAGCCTCGGTAAGGGGGTGCAAATTGCACATGCAGCCGTCATTGGTTTAAAGGGACTATCCCACCTTCTAAAATGTTGTTAAAACCAGTTAAATTGTGCCCGACTTTATAGATTGGATGACCAGGAACACGGTTCTGGCATTTATTTTTCATTAACCCGCGCACCGACGGGGGTCTGCGCCAACTTAGTACCGACGGGGGGGGGGCGGATGACCGCCCCCCCCTGAGATCTCGAGAACGAAGCAAGATAGCGACAAGCGGTAAACGGCATCGGATACGCACGGTCAAGATCTACAATTTTTACTAAGGTCATTTTCAGGTCAGGTCAAAGATGACGTCACAGGGGTCGAAAAAGTCAAAATGGCGGCGCTAAATATGGAGAGAGTTTTTCTCGAATAACTTTCGAATTAGTCAAGATAGGAACAAACTAAGGGCATCATCGTGATCCTCTCGTCAATCCGCATCGAATGATATATATGTTGACCTCGAAAGGTCAAGGTCAAAGGTTGACCTCAGGTCACGTGACCTCGAGGTCATCATGTATATCATTCGATGCGTCTTGACGAGCTGAACACAATGAGACCATCCACGCGTCTGTATCTTGTTCCTGTACGGAGTTATTGGCCAAAAACCTTTGGTGACCTTTGATGACGTCACATGACCTCACAGCTGCCCAACAGCAAAACAGACCTCAAGGTAGTGAAGGTTGATCGTATATGAAGTCATGTATGGTATATGGGGCCATTCCGACCCGTTTTAGTGGTAAAAACAGGGAGTTGATTTTTCCCCCATTGACTTATAATGGGGAGGTCGCGAAATTGACCTGACCTTAGGTCACCGATATCAAAATTCCGAGATATACAAATTGTAGCTACTAATGACCTAATAACATCCTGCGACTTTCAAAGGCCTCCGACATCTACTGTAGCTCTGGCACGGTGACAAAGTTGCAAAAAAGTGACTTGAGGTTGGGTCATTCAAAGTGACCTGGTGACCTGACCTTGAAAGGTAGGAGGTTCAAACTTGCACACCATGTGTAAAATTGATAAGGGAATAGTCATACCAAATTTCGCGGCGCTACGCGCCGCGGTTTTCCCGCTATTTGCGAAAAACCTCAGGGGGGGGCGGATATCCGCCCCCCCCCGTCGGTGCGCGGGTTAAACATCTTAGGCTTCCCATATTCCAAACACAAACTTTCAAATATGTGACGTCACAGCCCAAAATTACCTCCTTCCCCAGGCCACATTACTGTCATAAAGCTGATTCTTTTTACTCTGTAGGCGCCACAACAAACTTCAGACCAATTTTTAAGCGATTTTTCAACGAACAAACCCATTTAAATCAGAATGACTAAACGAGGTGACGTCACACTAACGGTCGCTCCATGTTGAAGATAAGGCCTTGTACAAGGCCCATTTTCAAATGAAGGGAACGAATTTCTTCAACACCAAGAGGCCGCGGGGGTTGCAACCTAGATAGATAGTGGTTTCTGAACCTCGCCGCAAACTTGGCTATCTCAACTCAAACCCCATGTTAAAGGTGGGATAGTCCCTTTATGTATGTATGTATGTATGTATGTATTGACGATCAAGAGCAATCCACAATCGGCGTGGCGATTACACTCCGAGTCCGAGCTGGTTGAAGATAACACAAGAAATAGGCTTTAAGTCAATGGGATTTCTTGAAGAAAAAATACTTCATTAAAATACAAAAAAATACCCAAAATCAATTTTGCTCAAAATTCCCACGCTAGATTTTGAAAATGTTTCAGTATGATATGCACCCACATGTCGCCTACTGCACGTGGCATAGGCCATATATGGGGCGATTGAAATGCACGTGCACGCTCCGGTCTTGTTTAACCCGCGCCCTGCTGGGGGTCCTGGATTTCCACGCCCTGCTGGGGGGGGGGTGTTTGAACACCCCCCCTTGTAACTCGGCTCCTGGGCCACGTAGCGATACGCGGAAGGCGGCGTTCGAAAGAGCGTAAAAAATAATGACGAAATCACTTCAGTCAATTTTTTGGTCAGGTCAAAGGTCAGGTCACCAGAGGTCATTGAAGGCAAAATTTCGCCGATTTCCAGGTCGAATGTCGAAAATTTCCAAGAAGCCAACGCATAACTCGGGAACCAATAGAACTACAGCGCCGCGGAAAAGCGCATTCGATAGCCCTATTAACGCCCTTTCTGAGTAATCTCTCAGATTTGACCTAACGTCAACGGTTTTGCCTACAGGGGGCAAAAACTGCAAAAATAGCCGATTTTTTTGAAAACAGTTTTTCTGCAATAACTTTTGACCCAGGCCTCGTACGAGCTTACTTTTACCGGCATCGTGTTCCTCTCGTCAAGACGCATCGAATGAACTATAACTTGACCTTGAAAGGTCAACTTGAAAATTTGACCTCAGGTCAAGGTCATGACCTGACCGGAAAGGGTCATGTTGCATATCAGTCGATCCGTATCGTCGAGCTGAACACATCTAAGGCGTTTTCATCGCTCTAGCATGCCTCTATCAAAAGTTATTTGCCAAAAACTGTTAGATACCATTCGTGACCTAAGATGACCTCAGGGCATAAACAAGGGTCACGGACACCATTTTTAAGTTCAGTGTGTCTAAAACACTTGTAATTCGGTGTTTGGGAGTGTTTATAATGTCTTTCATCCAAAAGAGGCGCATTTCAATTTTCTCCCATTGACTTATAATGGGGAGGTCGCAAAATTGACCTGACCTTAGGTCATCGATATCAAAATTCTGAGATATACATTTTGTACATGCTATTGCTCTTAGCAATCGCTGAAAGTTTCAAAGCGATCGGTCACTCGGTGTAGCTATGACAGACATTGAAAGTTTTTATGAGGTGAGGTCACTTCAAGTGACCTGGTGACCTGACCTTGAATGACCTTGGTCTGAAATTTTCACAATATGTGTAGAATTGATGTATGATAAGGTGTACCA